CATAACCTATCCAATATGGAATAATTTGAGTAGTCCTATAACATGAGAAAATCAAATTTATAGTAATGTTAAAAAAAAAAAAAAAAGAGTATCTTTAGGCCCAATTGATTTCACTGGAGAATTCTCCCAAACATTAAATACTTCTGGGTCTCCCTGCTGGCGCAGGGGTTAAAGCACTATCAAGCTATCACCACTGTGGCTTTGTTACAGGGTAGCCCAGTGCCGCCTGTCTGTGGGGCCTCACCCGTGCACTTACAGTTCAGTTATATTGCAGGTACACACAAAAGGGTCAATAATGGATTTATTTACAAAAGGGGAAAAGAAAAGGAAACAACCCAGGGAAAGAGAAGGGGACACAAAGAAACTGGGATACCTTAGGACTAGGCTGACTGAACACAACGAGTCATGCGGTCCAGAGAGCCATTTCCCGAGCAAGAGAGTGCAAGGTGCAATCGCGCCCTATTTATCTCCCAAATGTCCCAGAATTCCTGCTAGCTCCGCCCTTGGGTCCTCACAGTTCTCTCCCTGCTACTGCTGGGAGTTGTTTCCAATCACTGAAGTAGGTGGTAGGGTCCAGAAAGCTGGAGTAGGGGATGGAGTCCATAAGGCTCTGCAGAGTTCCTTTAGGACATCCTTCCCCTTAACAGCTTGAGTTCTATCCAGAAGGGAACTAACCCACATGGTGCAGCAGCAGACCTCCCCTGTCTTAACCCATTCTTTGCCAAAGCAGTGCATTTAAGTAGATCCACCTGTTCTCCTCTCTTTGCCCCTCTCACACACCTACCTCCCCCCCCACAACACATACTTCTGGCCTACACCCCAGTTCTTATATGCATAAACAATAAATAAATCATTACAGAAAATTATACACAATCCCTTCAGGAATTCCATACAATTCCAGAGAAACTGAAGAGAAGACTTACCAACTTACTATATAAAGCCAGCATATCCTAATACCAAAACCAGATAAGGGCTACCAAAAAATATTTGAAAAAAAAAAGACTACAAACAGTTCATTATGAATATAGATTTAAAAACATATATATATATATGATACATATAAATACAAAAATCCTTGACGCAAAATATTAAGTCAAGTTCAGCAATATATAAAAAGGATTGTGCCACAAAAGCAAACGGTCTAGTTACACTGGCTGGTTCAGTGTTCAAAAGTCATTGTAGTCTATATTAAGAGGCTAAAGAAGAAAATGATACGATCTCACCAATTGATTCAGAAAAAATACTTGAAAAAATTGAACATCATGATTAAAAATATACATATATTTGTGAAAGCAAGAACGAAGAATCTACAATTTAGTAAAAAAACATCTGTAAAAAACTTGCAGCTAATATACTCAATGGTGATGCTTTGGGGGGGGACTTAATTTTGAGGATTTAACTAAGTAATCTACAAATAACTCTTCCAGAACAAATAAGTGAATTCAGTAGGTTTGCAGGATACAAGGTAAACATACAGCTTTGTATTTTTGTAAACTAGGGTTGTGTAACCATCCCAGGTAGGGTAGGTTCATTGTCAGTCCTGGCAGATAAAAAGAGTACTTTGTAGTCTTTGGTGGATTTTGCAGGCCTTTGATGCTAACCCAGGACTGTATGCACAGGCAGAGAGAGACTCAAAAATCAGACATTGAAAGGGGGAAATTGCAGTAGAGTCTCTTAGCTCACTTTATAATTGAAGACCACAACTGATTCATTGTTGTAAATGTGAGGCCCATGATGTGTCTGTTGTTTGGAAGGCAAAAGAAAATAGCCTGAATTTAACTCATTTTCTTTACAACTAGCAACGTGTACATTAGCACCAAGTTTGAAAGTAAAATTCCGCTTACAGTTGCTCAACAAAATTAAATACTAAGTTATAAATCTAAGGCCTCATATACCGAATATTGCACAGTACTGATAAGGAACTGAAAGAAGATCTAAATAAATAGAGATTGTGTTCATAATTGGAGACTAAGCATAGTGAAGATGTCACTTTTCCACAAATTGGTAATGAGTTCAACACAATCCCTACCAAACCTTTTTTAAGATATACACATGGGAAATTTGGTAGAGAGTGAGGCAGATATACTTATGGAAGAGTCACAATATAACCTCAAAGTTATATAGAGATGTTAAAGTATGAAAGTGCCTGTCCAGTAATGACCGAGACCCAAGTCTAATGTAAAAGCAAAGTGAACCTTTATTAGCTAGCTCGAGTTAGGGTTCAACCCAGAATGATCTGACGCAGTGGATACTCCTTGAGTGGGAAGGACCCCGACTTCTGAAAGTCATGGGTTTATAAAGGCATTGTGGGAGGGGCTGGGCTGTCACGAGTCCCTGCTTGCCAGATACCTGGTGCAGATAACAGTAAGGTCTTGGAACATTTACTCCAGGGAGGATCAAACTTATCTTTGGGCAACAGTTTTAGCAACAGTTTTACTGTCCTTCCGGCCTTCACACTCCTCTACAATGTAAACTGACAGTAATACAAAAGAGATAGAGACAAAATTATCCTCAAGTCTATATGGAAGGCAAAGAAACAAGAACTAAATTTTGGAAAGAATAAAAATAGAAGTCAATCTATCTGACTTCAACTCTATATAACTGCCGCAGTCATAGTTTGTGATATTGGAGCTAGATACCGGACACTGGAATAGAATAGAGACCCCAGACACAGATTCATGTTAAGATGCCCAGCAGATTTTTGACAAAGATGTAAAAGCCTTTACAAAGGTAGCCTTTACAACAAATAGTGCTGGTGTGACTGGACAACCATGGGTAAAGAATGAAGTTTTAACTAAGTCTCACATCTTATACAAAAAAAATCCATTTAGAGATGCTCAGAGTGACCTTGAACTAGTGGTTTACATCCCTGCTCTGACTTAAGTGTCAGGATTGTACTGTTGGGCACATAGGACATGCACTAGAAATAGCCTCGCTTGTACCTCTGCACTGGTTTTTTGATAACTGTGCCTGGGTCCCAGTTTATCTTCATTTTCCTTCATTGTTAGAAGGACATTAGCCACGGTGGTAGAAAGTGAGGCCTTTAGAACCAAAATGCTGGGGCTAGAATTTTTTCTCTGCCATTTACTCTCTTTGCAGTAAAGTGGGAATGATAAAAATATGTAGAATGATGATAATATGTATCTTACAGGGTTGTTGTGAAGATGAGAGTGTTAATTTCTGTAAATCACTTGTAATAAAGTGGAAAATGTCCAGAGTTTCCTTGTAGCCGATAGTGAAGGGGAAACAGTGAAACTACTGATGCAGCAAAAGTCCCATTAGATAAATTTTCCAACCCAGGTGCTATAGGCAAGTTTGCTTTCTCTTATCACTGCAAATTCTCCTTAGTCTGATGGATTTGTAGCTGGTCTTTACACTAACAAGGCTGCATTCCAAGAGGAGGAGGTACAGCAGAGTGGGCATCATCTGTAGGTCCCTTACCCCCGCCACCCCATTTTATAACTCCCCTTTGCTCTTCTTAGTCTGAAGGATAAAATGTAACCTACCCGTGTAACCTATGTTAAAATAACTAGAATAAAGGGAAACTTTTATCAGGGCCCAGACCTTAGAAGGAGAGAGAAGTGACTCCTGTCTGGTGCCCACTGGTATAACAGTAAAGCTCTACCCACTAGTCCTAAATGCTGTTTGGCCCTTTCCAGCCTAGCAAAACAGTTTCCCATAACAATAAGTGTCTGTCACTGTAATTATTATAGAAGTATTGTGATAAATGTCTTCAGCCATAAATCTTCAGAGTTTCTAATTCTCTCCTTAGCTAGATTTTTAAAAGGGGGAATATCTTGGTCAGAGAGTTTGAAATCTTCAAAACCTCTTGAGACCCAGCTTTCTAGAAAGATTATAGGATAGAGCTCACTTAGGGCAGGGGTAAGGCCTGGAAAGGCAGAGATATTGAACTTCTGTTACAGAACTTGACACAGCATCTACAGAAAAATAACCCTGTGTCTAAAGTCATCTGTCATCTGGCAATGCTTATGTTGAGACTAGAAAGCTGTTGAAGAGACAAAATAGGATGTGACCAATATGTCACATTTGTACAGTGTCAGCTGGGTCATTACAGAACAGATTTTGAGAGGTGACTTTTAGATTTAGATTTCATGTTTTTTTTTGTTTGTTTGTTTTTTTAACTGAAGAGACCAGTCATGATGGGTGCAGCTTGATTATCAGAAAGTGAAAAATCATCTACTCACGAAGTAAATAAATATTTATTGGCTACCTGCTCTATGCCAATTGCTGTTCTAGGACATATCAGAAAACCAAACACCCCTATCATTAATAGAGTTGATGTATTCTAGTGAAGAGAGAAGAACAATAAAAGATAACTATCATAAATAGCGTGCTAAAAGGGACCAAAAAAATGGAAAAAATGAATGAAAGTAAGAGGATTAAAGAATGACAATTTTAAATAAAATGGTTAGGTAAGGCCTCAGAGAGGGGATGACATTTGAGCAAGTATTTCAAAAAATTGCAAGTGGCTCTGAGGAACGAGCATTCCAACAGATGGGCGAGTCTGGGTGTACCATACTAGTTCACTGAGCACTGAAGACCAGGAAGACCGGTGGACAGAGTGAGAGGTCTGGAGTGGTCCTGGGCCAATCATAGTTGGCTGTCATAAGGACAGTCATCTTGTCTTCATTTTGGGGTAGGAGGGTAATGTGATCTAAGTTAACTTTTAAATTTTGAGAACAGATTGTAGGGAGGTGAAGTGAGAGGAACCCAGTATTCTAAAGTTTTCCTTCTTCCAGTCTTTAGAGCTAGCACCTAGCTGCCTCACTGTTTCTTGTGTAGTAGTAACGTGTTTCCATACTGGAATGCAGGGCGTTTATTATGAATTGGTTTCATTTCCCTTTTACATTGCAAGAATAGTATTGTCTATATAGGTAATTTATATTTGAATTCTATTTTACAGTCTTGTTATACAAAGCACAATGTTGCTAACAGATGGTAAAAGTTAAAGGTGTTTAATATATACTGTTTCTCCATAGGATTTTCTGTTGCAACAGACCATGCTGAGAATCAAGGATCCTAAGAAGTCATTGGAATTTTATACTAAAATTCTTGGAATGACGTAAGTAGATTATTGACACCTGTAATGCTCACATATATAGCTTGGCATGTACAGGGGAAACTTTCAGGCTCACAAAAAATAGATTAAAGTTTGCTTTGGAAGTCAGAAAAGTTCTTTTGGCCAGGAGTCTGGCATGATGTATCACTGACTGGGGCTTCTGTCCAGCAACCCTTCTACCAACCAAGCTCATCTGGCCACAGGCTGCCAGTTCCCACATCTTCTGTAGCTTCCTTGTGAGAGTTGCCACTTAAATTCTTAACATGTCCAGACCCTTTGATATTGTGGCCACTCTTAGCCTCTTGTTTACTTCAGGAACTCTATAAAGATACTTTTTAGAGACTGAGAGAGTTTACCTAATAATGAGTGGCCGTCTGTCCCACTTTTATATGATACTAAGCAGGTATATTTGATCTTGTAATCCTTAAAACATTTATTTTTCTTGATTTGTTTCTCTAAATAATACAAATGTTTCTGTTTATTTTCTATAATGTGTATACATAAAGAATAAAATTAATTGATTTTTAATTTATTGCCTTGATAAACTGCATTGATCTTGGTAGAAAAATCCAAGTAATGTGGCTATCTTTAGGAAAGCTGATGAGTTCAGAAAAATACAAAATGAAAAGCAAGTTTTCCTCTCCCAGCCCTTTTCCCCAAAAGTAACTGCTGTGAAGATTTTCTTGTAGTTCTTTCCAGAGAAAGTAGTTTTGTAAATAAGTTTATGACATTTTTAAAAACCAGAATGAAGTGAATGTATTGAAAGCTTGCTATTTGCCAGGCACTTTACATGTTAGCTCATCCAGTCTTCCCATTAAACTTGATGATGTAACTTTTGCCCCCATTTTTCAGTAAAATAAAGAAACTAAATGTTCCACACATGTTTCAGTTACTGGACCCTATTTCCTTAATGTGTATATGACAGAGATGAATTTGATTCTCAGTCTGATGACTCCCAAAGCAAACCTTGTTTTTCTCTTTTATTTATTTGTTCTTTGTGTGTCAATAACATGGCATTAGAATATAAAAGTTTCAGTGTGGGTAATTCTAAGTCTGCACCTGTAAATACTACACGTTAAGTCAGATTCCTGTACTCTACTTCCAGCTGATTGATCTATAAGGCTTGTGCAGTCTGCAGTAGGTTTAGAGTTAATGTTTCATGATTGGAGTATTTGAGGTGTTTGATACTTTTTATAAACTTGTCCCAATAATTCTTATGACAAGTTAGTGCATGGATTCCAGTGGACTGAGGCATGTATTATATCTAGCAATGATAATTAACAAGTTTTGGAACACAATTCTAGAACCCTTCCTTTTGCTGTGTTTCAACTGTTCCCACTCACTGATTATGAATGAGTCATCTTTGAGCATTTAATCCTCAATCTGAAGAAAATTGTATGCATATTAATTCTACCTTACTCCCTGCAGAGGAATCTTACTCTCTGCATACTTTATAAGCCATACCTTCAGTTATCTTTTTTAAAACTTCAGGATTAGTAATTCTTTTGCTCTTCCATATCAACCTTTCCTTTTACACCGGTTATTTCTCCTCGTCTACAGCAGCACCTACGTCATCTCTGTTCTAGGCTAACTCCTCTCCTCAGGTGCTGCTAACCGGGACTGACCATCTTCTAGGTAGACAACACTTGCTCTTTTATTTGCTTACCCCTCATTCTCTCCCAGCCCAGGGCAGTCCAGCGTATGAGGCCCCTTGCTGCTCAGAGTGCCCCCACAGGACTCTTGCAGACCTGCTGACCTGTTCTCAGTATTAATCTGCTTGACCTTTCTGCAGTATTTAATACTGTTACTCTCTTTATTGTTGATGTTCACATCTCTACTATTAATGTCCTTCCTTCTTTTACACCTTTCCTCTGTTTCTTTTCCTAGGAGTTTTGGCATAGTAAGAACTCAATAAATTTATTTTATTTAACTGAATGCCATGTATCTGAAAGAATAATAAAGTAATGCACTATATATATATATTTTTTTTCTTTGTAAGATAACTTGCCATTTGTATACAAGTGCCAAAATTCCTTTTCATCTTCACTGTATTTGAAGAATTGATGAATTGCAAACATTTGCCTTTGAAAAGAAGTTTATGCATGAGTGGATTTTTTAATGAAATTTCTTTCTCAATAATTTCCCACTGCTTTTCCTATTAAAATAGCTTCATTACTTATAGCTCTTACTCTTAGTAGAACTTGGTTATTGTTGTGTTATTTTAGTATGAATCAGCCTTTCCTCTTGTTATTTAATTTGACTTATTTTTTAACTACAGGCTTCTCCAAAAACTAGATTTCCCAACAATGAAATTTTCGCTCTATTTCTTGGCTTATGAGGATAAAAATGACATCCCTACAGAAAAAGATGAAAAGCTAGCCTGGGTATTCTCCAGAAAAGCTACACTTGAACTAACACAGTGAGTTTGAGTTTTTATCTTATTATGCATTGTATAATTTTTAAGTTTGTTCGTTTGTTGCTAGTTTTAAATTTGATTTTTCCCATAACTGCTTAATTTAAACCATATCTACCTATTATGCTTTGTGTTTGTAACAGTTTTCATTTTTCTTTATGGATCTCCCATTTTTGTATTGTTTTTGTAGCTTACGTAGGGCAGGAGAGCTCATTGGCCTTTTAGATAGAAAACATAACTGATAATGGCAAGAGATTTGCTCAACTGTAGCTAATGAATGTTTAGGCACTACAGCTAAGGTCTTAATAACTTCAACAATTGTCTATCTCCTTTCTTTTTTATTCTTTATATAATGTCCATATACTCTTTATTAGGGGCAGAAAGCATATGTTTCTAAACTGGTATGTGATTTAGCATGTCCCCTGATTCAAAATACTTTAGCATTATATAGATCTAAACACAGGTCTTGGTTCTGACAGTAACTCTATGTCCCTGAATGAGTTACACCATCTCTTGGTGGCAGTCTCTTTTATAAAAATAGATACTTTAACTAGCCCATGGAGCTATTTTGAGGCATTAATGAAAAATGAGTACTTAGCACAGTAAATGATAGTTGCTATTGTTATCATTATTGTTCCTATTCTAATGTTTGATTTTAGTGTGTCCTTAGTCTAGTTAAAATATATTTTGTCAATTTGCCCTTGCCATAATTGAAAACTTAATATTTACAGTGGCAGAGATTAGACCAAGTATATAAGTAGCATGTATACATTAGTAAGATTTCGAAGACAAACAGTTGAAACTTTTGCCCAGAATGTCTGCCCTATGGATCACTCATAATTATGTTTTCCCTCTGTTTGTAGTAATTGGGGCACTGAAGATGATGAGACCCAGAGTTACCACAGTGGCAATTCAGACCCTCGAGGATTTGGTATGTTTGCCTACTTATATGTAACATGCATGTAATCTATATGGATTTGTATGACTTTATGTTGTGTACCAGTTTTTGATTATAATAAATCTAAAACATTAAGTGTAATCAACATGAGGAGTATCTGTATTTTTATGTTCCATAAATAATTTTAGTTCATTTCATTGTCTTAGTCTGACATTTACTCACAATAATTTTACCTTTCAGTCTCAGTATTACTTTTTTAGTAGACTTTTTAATGAACTACTAAACTTAATAGACATCTAGTAGATGATAGCTTTTAATAAATTTTCAGCTAGCATGCAACTTTTGCCTTGACTAAAATCTTCAAGTTAAAGTGATGGGTTTACAGGTTTAAATTGGATGCTATATAATCAGTGTCAAAAATAAACCTATTCAATATGAGTAGATGATTATTTTTAATGTGACTGATTCTTACCAGATTAAACATATATGAGGCAGTATTGGGCTTCTTTTAAATAATTTGCAATTCAGAGCAACTAATCAATTTATTATACCCAGCCAGTTAGATATAGATTGTTGGTCTTTAGGAGGCTTTGATTTCTTTTCTTTTCTTTTCTTTTTGACACTGTATTTTAGGTTTTGATCCTTCTTGAATGAATGCTTTCTGTGCCTTTGTTGTGGCACCTGGACACCTCCTTGGTAACTGTTTCTTCCCTTTTCCACTTTGTCATCTAAGGTCACATTGGAATTGCTGTTCCTGATGTACACAGTGCTTGTAAAAGATTTGAAGAACTGGGGGTCAAATTTGTGAAGAAACCTGATGATGGTAAGTCTGTTTTCTTTAGGTCTCTTTCTAATTTTGTAACAGAGGGCCCTGTTGCAATGTGACCCTTTTGGTTGCAAGTAATTTTAAAGACATCTTTTGAAACCAGCTTAAGGAAAGAAGGGAAGTTATTGGAAGAAAACTGGGGTATCTTAGGCAAGTAGGAGAGCTTCACAGGGGGACTAGACTCAGGCTCTGGAGAGCCAGCCATGCCCCAGACCCCTTCTTAAGCCCTTTGACCCCACCACATTATCTCTTTGGCCACCAGTGTCGGGGATATCTAGCCACCCTCAAATTGGTCGTATCCAAAATAATTATAACTATGCTAAATCTTTTCTAGTTTTAACTGCCTGGTATTTCTTTTTCATTCATTTACTTGTTCGTATGTTTTAGGTGTATCTCTCGAAATAGTATCTGTCTGGATTTTGCTGCATTTGCATATTATATATATCATAATTATTTTACTTAGAGGTGTTTTGCCATCATCATCTACTATTTCAGCTTTTATTTGAAATGCCAGTCATTTTAACCCTTTTTTTGAATTAAAAGATTTGAAATGCAAATATTAATTTGCATGTCCCAGAAAGAAAAGTGTGTGCACTCTTGTACCCCATTGTGTTACTACAAGCCAGATTGGGGCATACTGGTTTATTTTTTCCTTTTTCTTTGGCTTTTACTTTTTTTTTTTTTTAAGATACTAAATATAATTCAAAGTATATAATCACTTTCCTCCACATATCTCCTTCAGTAGCTTTTGGATTTTTCTGTTCCTTTATTCATACCCCAAACAAACTTTTTCAAAGCGCTTATAAGCAAAAACTTTTGAGACTTTGCTTAGAACTATGCCTTTATATATGAATGTCAGGTTTTGCTCTTAAAAAAGCTGCTATTGCTGTTGAAAATCTGCTGGTTTGTGTTTATCTGGTTGTTATCTTCAACTTTTTCTGAAGGCTTTGTATTTGTTAATTTTTTTTTTGTCCTTGCCTTCTTTCTGAGAGATTTCTTCAAATTCACATACCAAGTAATTTTTTTCAAAATATATCTGTTGTGCTATATCTCATCTATTGTATCATTTATTTCATTATTCCTAACTTTTACTTGGTTTCCTTAGTATTTTCTTGTTCTTGTTTTATAATTAGTTATATTTCTTAGTTCTGAATGTTTTAACAGTCATTCTTGGTCTGTTGGTCCAATGTTTGTTCTTCTGTTTGAACCAATAATCCATTGTTTGTTTTCTGGCTATGAACTTCCAATTCTTGCTATTTTGGTCTCCTACCTCTTAAGGTTGGGGTCTTTTTTTTTGATTTGGGGTTTTTTGTGTGTGAATTATAAATGTTAGCTATTCCTACCCATCAGGCAGACTGAACTGGGGAAGGCCAGACCTTAGTCTTTAACAACCCAGTGACAGGATGATGGGGGAAAAAGAGTTAAACACTTCACATTCCTCAGAAAACCCTTTCAGCACAGATCCTCTTTCTTCTTTCTTATACAGGGAACAGGAGTATTATCAGTAGGAGAGACTTCTGAGATTTTTTTCAAAACCCTATTTGTGTGGAAAGTGAAGATGGGGGAGATCTGTTGGCTCTCACCTATCTTCTCAGTTCCTCAAATGCAGGAGACTCTGTACTGCCCTTATTTATGCTCCTTAGAAGAGCTGAACTAGGGCCCTCCCTGGTGGCGCAATGGGTTAGGATACTGGACTAAGAAGCTTAAGCCTTTTCCGCACTATTTTTATTCCCGCCTGCCCATGAGGTGACCCACATAGCGCAGCAGACCTCTCCTGACCTGCCCGCTGCTCCCCTCAGTAGTGTACTCCGTCGATCTGCCTGCTCTGCTCCCCATTCTGTCTCTGGTGAATCTTCTAACTGCCTCTGCACCTCTGACTTGCACCCCAGTTCTGAATGCATAAATAAATCTTTAAAAAAAAACAACGGAACTAGGAGTTTGGGCCTCACACTATGGGGGAAGTTGCCGATGCCCAAGGCATCAGAAGAGCAAGAACCAAGCTATCAAAACTTCTGTGATGGGCCACAGCTGTGATGGGCCATCTTCCCACAGCTGTGATGGGCCATCTTCCCTTCCCAGGCAAAAGTACCACTTCCTACCTAGTTGAAATAAGTCACTCTACTCCCTCTTTCCCTTTCTTCTCCCCTACCATCACCTCAGAGGGTTTTTTGTTTTTTTTTTTTTTCCCCATTTTCCATCTGTGTTCCTCTGGGGTTGATTTTGGGAAAGGAGCCAGACAAACAACAAGTCAAACAATGAAGCAACTTGTTCTCTAAATGAATTTCTGAGGTCACATTTTTCCAGTTAAGCAATAACTCTACTAGCAGACACCCTAGCCTCTCAATCCCAGTTGAGAATTTCAGGGAGAAAGAATTTGACCAACAGAGCATGGGTTACATAGAATAGTCCTTTGAGGGTTTATAAGACTCAAGCAAGCATCTAGGTCTTTTGGTCTTGTGGTTCCGCCACACTATGACCACTGCCTTGAGCATTAGGGCATCATTTTCCTCTTTAAAATGAGAGACATAGTCTGACTCCTCATCTGGTAGCATAGTCATATCATGAAGGTGCAATACCTGGTACTTAGAAGGTGCAATCATTCCTACCACTTAATTCAGGAGAGTTGGTTTCTAGATATATGTAATAGATAAATGTTAGTCATTTTGGAAAAGTGCATTTGGGCAGCACTGACAATAGAATTTCCTAAAGCAAATTAAAACTTTAAACAAAATAATGTATTTCATTAAAATGCAAATTAAAATTTGAATTTTTTTCTTTTTAATAGTCTTTTCAAATAATGAAAATCATTTCATTTTACAGGTAAAATGAAAGGCCTGGCATTTATTCAAGATCCTGATGGCTACTGGATCGAAATTTTGAATCCTAACAAAATGATAGCTATTGTTTAAGTTCTGTAAGAATACTGCTTTTGAGATTTGAGGAAGGCATTGTAGGCAATCAAAAAGGAAACAATGTGATTCAAGACTTCCAATTTAACAGAAGCATCTAGGACTGGTGGGGTCACTGTCCCAGTTCATACTCTCCAGTTTCCCTTTTCATCTACCCATTCAATCATCCTAATTTTAAAGTACTGCTTAGCCTTATGTCCTTGAATGTAATTGTGTGACTTTACTTTTTTAGGTAATTAGAACAATTCCCTTCAGAGGCTGCATTTGCCTTCTATCTTCTAAAAAGGACTTTTTACATGCCTGCCTTTGAATCATTTTTAAAAAATTATACTCTTAACATGTTTTGTTATAGTTACCTTCAGGGGTTTCCATTCCTCAGAAACTACTTTTCACAATGGAAAGTAAAGAACACTGAACAAAAGTAAAACTTCATGTGCACTTCAAATAGTATACAGTGTTGATGTTACAAAAGAGAAGCTACTCTTGGGAGCAGTTCAGAATCACGCTGACAAGGATGCTGATAGAAGAACTAATTCTCCTTATTTACAAAGTACTTTGAGAGTTCAAGGACTAGCCAGTTTATTTTGGCATAGGAGGAGAATGGGAATATTTACTGCATATGCAAACACAGGACTGTTCTGTCACATACTTTATATCATTTAATCTTCACGATGCTTGTATGAGAAAGAAAGCAGGCTAGACATGAGAAAAAACCTTTAGTGAACTGAAGGCAATATAAAGAGGTTTAAGCACTCAAGATATTGTCAGCAATTTTAGGATTTGGATTGTATCTCAAAAATTAGTACCCCACCCCACATTCTTCCCAGTGTGTGTACACACACACACACACACACACACACGATACCTCTTCTGCTGGTCTCCCATTTTAACAACCTCCAGTGACTTTGAGCAGTCATCTGAGCTCTTGGGCCCTGCTACCACTGTGAGGGAACAACACTGGAGGAAATCTGGAGTACCGACTGCCTTGAAGACACCTGGCTACTTCTGTGCAAGTGTTGTGGTTACTACCTGTGAAGAGGCTCATCCCAAGGTCTTCCAGATGCCAGTTATCATTCTGGGAAAATTATGTCTTGTGATAACTAAATTAATAGAAATCAGCGTTTCCCTATTCTGAGTGACATTTGATGGGTTTTTAAAAACCAGACTGATTTCAAAAACTTCTTATGGCCTAGACAATTAGAACATCCAGTTTGTGATTTTAACTACCTTTAGATTTTCCACAGACTGCAGTGAATACCTTTGGACAGGCTTGCCAATTATGCTTATAATGCTAGATGCCTTTTACATTCCTTTTTAAGTGGAATGGGTTTATGTGAGCAATTCAAACAAACAGCAGTACTTACAGACTGAAATAAAGTTAAATTTAAATAATGCTGTGTTTAATTTGTAAACTTCTGTCCAATATGTTCATTCATTAAAAAAAAAAAGTTCCCTCAGGGAGTACTGCACGTCTTTGAAAGCACTTGTAGACTCATTTTGAACTGGAAATAGTTGTAATTCTGTACATCCTGCAGAACAGATGGTTTCTATGGGTAAGCAAGGAAGGAAAGGGTAGGAAGAAGAAAGTAAATAAGGAATAAAGGACTATGGTAAATAAATGTACAGATTAGAAAAAAAAGGTCGAATGTCCAAAAGGAGAGTCATGGGAACCAATGAAGATCAAGTTCACATTGTCAGAATTATCAAATGAGAGGGTTATTAGATTCATGACAGCAAAAATGTCATTTAAACCTTTCCAGAGAAAGAATCCGTTATTTGCAAAGTACAATTTGCCAAGTTCCTTGGTTATCCCTTAAATTCATTCCTGTATACAGTGTGTGTGTGTGCATGCGTGCATGCGCAACATGTCATCACCACTCCAAGTGCTAGAACTGTTCACTTCCAAATTAACTTACTTGTAACAGGGTGAAGGAGAACACACAATCTTGTCTCTCATGATTGGGCAGCACTACTGTAGCTTACTATTAATGTGAATAAGTCAGTCTTGAATGTGTTTACACAGATAAGCCTGGGACTATTAGTTATGCAGGTGGTTTGTGTTAGAAGCTGGTGACTTAAAAACCACCTGCTTCCTCACATAGCATTCTAACCAAGCCTTCCTACCATGTATATAAATACTCTTTAACAGTCTCACTCCTAGCAAAATAATTGCTTGCAAAATATCTGTTATATCTGTTGCTTGCTTCCAGCAATAAAAAAAAAAAAAAAGACCCAATATGATCTATAGTTCCTTCAGAAGTTCTGCAATGAATTGATAGGGAGATCAGAGATACCAAGAACCCTGGTTTCCTTCCATCTTTCTCAGCCTTTCTGAGTTTTATCTTTGAGCTAGTACTGTGAGCAGTAATACCTACCTGTTTGCAGGTATCAATATATAAACCTACACCATCCAGGAAAAGGAGATAATCTTTTGTTGCTCATTTGTTTTAGTGTCAGATCTTTCCATAAGTCCCTCAGCAGAATTCCCCTCATGTTTTGCACGGAACTGAGTCATTTCCCTGTCTTCAGTCACTGGCAGAGGGAATGAGACTGACTTAGATGGAGCATGTTTACTCAAATACCTGCATGAGGGTAGAGACTGGACCAAAATTGAGAGGACTTCTGTGGGGGGATAAACAAAACTGCAGCAGGCTCCTAGCTGGTGCAGTGTGATAAAAAAAAAAAAAAAAAAAAAAGTTGTATTTTTTGTCAACAGAGCTTGGTCTAAGATTGTGGTTTTCAAACCATACATGTTTTAGCACACCCATTTTATTATCGGCAATATTATGACATCACATCCACCATCTTAAAATTCATATATAATTTACCTGTATATACAGCTTCCTAAAGGGTAAATCTCAAACCTTTATTGCAATGTAATGGGGAAATGAAATCTATTTGTAATAAATAGTATGCATTTCAATATATAAAAGCACTGATAATATTACACTAGAAAACAATGAAATAACCAGGTGTTTAACCTGGAAAACTTAATACTGTTAACACTGTGTGATGTTTTAAAATAAAGGCTGAATTCATGATTCATGAAGGACTATGTCACACTTTTAAGTGTATACTGATGATGTGTTTTACTGGTTACTCACCATGAATAATGTCCCTGTTGGAAACTCATTTCTTTCCAAAGTGGTGATCAAGTCTTTCTAAGGTCTTAAATAATAATTGTTCTGTTGATAAAATAGTTTTGTCCTTAGTGAATATTAAAATTGTGTATTATATGAACTTAAATATAAGTAAAATAAGTCTTCTGGCCTCAGCTGATAAGGTGTTATAATTTATTAATTGAAACAACATTGTTTAAGTCCAAGGTATTATGTGTGTTGTGATATTTATATTTTATAATAGACTAATATCATGGGCTTAGCTTACACTGCTATCAGTTTACATAATTATTTCTTTTGTGTGATGGGGACAGTCAAGATCTTTTCAACTCTGAAGTTGATAATATGGTAGTACTGGCTGATACTTTGCTGTGCATTAGATATCCAGGACTTAACCTGCTATTTTCAGGTTTGTACTTTAAACTTAACTTTTTAAATAATAGCTTTAGACTTATAGAAATGTTTCACAGGTTGTACAGGGAGCTCCCTTATTTTAGAAATCTTAGTGTGGTACATTTGTCACCATTAATGAACCTACATTGATATGTCTACAAACAGAAGCTTACACTTGATCTATGTTTCCTTAGTTTTTACCTACTTTCCTTTTTCTGGTAAAGGAATACCAGGATGCCACATCATATTTAGTTATGTCTCATTAGGTTCCTCTACAATGTCACATTCTAGAGGTCTTTTAGACTTTGGAGGCTTGGTGAGTACTGGGTCAGATATTTTGTTATTTTCTCAGTTGGGATTTTCTGAATTTTTTGTCATGATGAAACTGGAGTTCTGGGCAGTTAGACACCCACAGAGGCAGAGTACCCTTATCAAAGATACATACTATCAACGTGCTCTCTCATTTTTGGTGTTAATTTTGATCACTTGACTAAGGTAATATTTGTTAAGTTTCTCCATGGTGGAGTTATTCTTCACTCAGCCCTTTTCCATAGTGCTGTTTGGAAGAAGACACTACATAAAGTCCACATTTAAGCTGTGGAGGTGTCCATCTCCTTGAGGGGAAACCAGACTTTTTACCTATACTTTCCAAAGTGGGCTTTCCAAAGCTATGCAGGCCACTGTGGGCCATCCAGTCCTTTGTCCACTAAATTCCAGCAATGTAACCCACACGAAAATGCCCCACAAGTTTTTAAAATAACCCCTGGGGGTCAGTATTGCCCTGTTGAGAACCACTTGTCTAGGCGTGGAATGAAAACTTACAGCTTTGAAAGAGGAATTGAGTTCAGAATTTATAGTTTTATACTTCCCCCTAGTTCCAAAACAATTTACTTGCCTTTGACAGTGCTTCAAAATTGTTATCTTTCCTTTTACATACTCATTGGTTTATATAACATTTCATTAGCGTATATATTTACAATCACAAGCCTAAGTGGCTTGAGTGTATTGGCACTGGACTCAACTGGCTTAATAAGTGCCCAGTTCATCAGGGAAGCAGAAGTGCCCAGGAGTCCCAGAGAGTGATCATGTTATATTCCCGATGCCAGGATATAAGCTTTATGCAGAAGTAGCGAATCAGCTTACTCCAGTCATCAGTGAAGTGGAAATGAATCAAGGGAATCCGTAAGATTGCCACAGTTGCAGTGAGACAGCATTCACATAGACTTCATCTAAGCTGCAGACAGGTTTTACAGTAGGCTTTAAGAGACACTAGAGGCTTAAATGTTCAGATTCTTTTATCTGGTAATATGATCATTTGGGAATTCCGTTTCCAAGAAAATAATTTGATTTTAGTTTTAAATTATATCCAATTTGTAGCTTCCATTATCTTTCATAATAGTGAAAAATTAGAAACAAATGACCGAAATGGGGAAGTAGTTAACTATTGTAGCAACCACGTGACAGAATAAGATCTACCTTAACACCTCTGTGTTTTCAAAAAACATTTAAAGATGTGGAGAAATACTCATGAGCTGTGTGTGTGTGTGGGGGGGGGGAGACAACAATATTCAAACATACACATTATGCTCTTGACCTTGAGGACTATGTGCAATCCATGGATATGGATGCTTCCCACAAGAGCCAAAAGCCATGGGTCATGGCCCTTAAGGATTTGAAAGCCAAAATTAAGTAAATAAAATTAATTTTTAAAAAATGGACACAGAGAAAGGCTGAGATGAAAATTTACAAATTGTGATGATTCATGACTGCTATTACTGATGATTTTATATCCTTACATTTTCCCAATTTTACTGAAAATGGGCAAGTATCACTGAATACCATGGAAAAATAAATGAAAAGTATCACTCAACTTAGTAATATTTACTTGTTTTGCCTGATGGGTAAAGACTTAAAATTTTAAATGAGCAAATGATAGTCAAATGATAGTTAATGATAGTCAAAATTTCCTTCAACATCATGTCTTTTAAAACTTGAAACAGGTACAGCCCATGAAGAAAGTTAGCATTATCTTCATGTCCACACTGTCTGCTCTTGGCTGGTTTTGTTTAAAAGATTTATTTGTTTATGCATACAGAACTGGGATACAGGACAGAGGTACAAGGGCAGTGAGAGTATTCACCAGAGACAGAGTGGGGAGCAGAACAGACTGATTGTCGAGGTACACTGCTGAGGGAACAGAGGGTGGGTCAGGAGAGGTCTTCTGCACCATGTGGGTCACTTCCAGGGCAGGGATCAAACTCATGCTGAAGTGGCTTTAGCTTCCTAGTGCTGTGCATTAACCTGCTACACCACTATAGAAGGCCCCCTCTTAGCTGATTTTGAGTGAACTTTGTTACTTTACATTCATTTTGTATTTTAAACTCTAGTCCAAAATTGTATCCTATCTATGGTACAGATCAGGCATGAGCACCATTCTGTGTTTATTTAAGAAAGAGCGACCAAAAACCATGAACTGTAAGCATTTTGCCAATATTTTGAGCAAGGTAGATACTCAAAGGGCATGCTCCCTGTACTCACAGCACCTAAGAGCTATATGAAAGTTAAGATTTTTTAGGCTCTCCCTGGTGGTACAACAGGTTAAAGCACAGCACTGAAAAGTTAACGCCACTTCAGCATGAGTTTGATCCCTTTCCTGGAGGTGATACACATGGTGCGGCAGACCTCTACTGACACACCTGCTGCTCCCCTCAGCAGTGTACTTTGTCAGCCTGTTCTGCTCCCCACTCTGTCTCTGGTGAATCCTCTCACCACCCCTGCACCTCTGGCCTGTACCCCAGTTCTGTATGCATAAATAAATACATCTTTAAAAAAAAGTTAAGATTTTTAGGCTTCCTGACAGACACATTGAATTAATAGTTTCAAATGATCCATAGGTATTTTGCATGCACAATAAATCTTGAGAAGCAATGTATAGACTCCTTTATTATGCCAATAATATCAGAAAAGTATGTATCCAAAATTATGAGTTATTCCTCCACTAAGTAACAAAACTGATTATTTGTGGTAATATACAAACTAAAATATCATGAATCATGGCTGTAAGAAGTGGGAATTTTATTTTATTCTAATTGCATAAAATTTAAGCCCCCATTTCCTGAGTGTATAAGAAGAAACTTGAATCTCAGTAAATTCAGAATCTCCTGCTCTTTTTTTTTAAAGGGACATGATTCTTTAAAAAGATTTGTTTTATTTATTTATTTTTGCATGCAAGAGTTGAGGTGTAGGCCAGAGGTGTTAGGATGGAGGCGGTGAGAGGATTCACCAGAGACAGAGTGGGGAGCAGAACAGGCGAACTGACTGTAATACATAGGTGAGGGGAGCAGCTGGCGAAATAAGAGAGAGACGTCTGCAGAACCATGTGGGTTCAGCTCCCTGGTGGGAGATGTAACTTAGTCCTGCAGTTGCTACAGAGTTTCACAGTTCTGACATTTAATCCCTTTTGCTACCAGGGAGGAGCTTCCTGCTTTTCTGAGTTGAAAGCCTTCAGTTCCTATAAGGTCTAGAAAGTTGGAGGAAGCTAAGCAAGCATCTCATCTTCCATAGGCGACATTCTGTTGTCATTTACTAAGATATCACATATCCTATTTGGTCCTTTACTGTAGATCTATGTAGTTTGCTGTTAGACCATGGGTTCATTCTAGTTGTTGAAGCTATTTCAGGTCTGTACCACCCAACTTCATTCTGCTCTTTCCATGTTATATCTGCCTACAGGGGCAACTTTGTGGCCCAATTCTACTCCCTAGAATTTGCCCATGGAGCTGGACCACTGTATAACACAAGACTAACTTACATAATTACATAGACTTCTATGAAGTTTGCATAAGGTCCTATCCATTAGACAACTGGCAGCCATTTCTTCTCAAGGTTTGTGCTGGTTTCTAGGGTTCTATCTGGGAAACCAAATTAAGGTTCCCTCTCCTTTTAAGCCTCCAGACACCTATCTCAGAATTCTGTGATTTCACTTTCTCCTACCCAGAGGTGCAACAGAAGGGAGGTCCTTTTCATAGGAACTTGCCAGGTATTAAAGCCCTCCCTCCATAAGACATTTCTCAAGACTCAACCCATGACAGTGTAGATTTTTTAAAGTTAGAGGCTGTTTTTATTTTTTAAAGTTAGAGGCTCCTTAGACCATGACCTAGATGTCTAAAAAGGTAAAGGCATGGAGAAAGTTAATATTTTTAAATGCCATATCAAATGAATAACAGAAGATAACTCCTTAAGTGCTGTTTTATTGCTCTTACAATGGAGTAAGCAGAGCATCACTGGGAGGATACAATCACATTATGTGTTCTCTTAGCACAAGAAGGCTGGAAGTATGAGACAGGGATCCTGTCTTGAGAACATTATAATCTGCAGGGCAAACTGCACAAAACAACCAGAGCAAAATGTCAACAACAGCACAGCAGGTTTACAAGCAACACTGACCACCTATTTGGAGCCATGGGTAGTGAATTATAGTATCAGAAGGATTACTTTGAAGAATCTGCTTCTACATTGGTGTTTCTCAAAATT